ACGTCATACGTATCGTACATCACGTCATACGTATCGTATACCAATTCATTCGTATCGTACACCACGTTATACGTATCGTACATCACGTCATACGTATCGTACATCACGTCATACGTATCGTACATCACGTCATACGTATCGTACATCACGTCATACGTATCGTACATCACGTCATACGTATCGTATACCAATTCATACGTATCGTACACCACGTCATACGTATCGTACATCACGTCATACGTATCACACCAATTCATACGTATCACACCAATTCATACGTATCGTACATCACGTCATACGTATCACACCACGTCATACGTATCACACCAATTCATACGTATCACACCACGTCATACGTATCGTACATCACGTCATATGACGTAACCTGTGCTGGTAGTTGTATTGATTACTTGCTGGGATTCATCCGCTCTCTCTATTCAGTAATGAGAATAGACACTTGGGCTGATGCATTAAAGCGATGCGGCATCATCAACATTCCATTTGGAACCTAAATGGTTTTGGTACCTTTTATAGCACCAAGGCTTCTTGATGTAACTCTTGTGGTCTAGTTTCATGGGTATTGGTTTGAGTATTTCATCAAATGAAATGCAACTTTAATCTTCAAGTGATTTATTAAAACAACAGCGTATTTCTCACATAACATTAAGTTCTTTGCCAGGGCGGTTTATCTGCAGTGCATGCTGGGAGCAGCTCCGGCATCCCAACCTCGAAGTGGAGAATGTGGAAATGAAAATGGGATTGAGACACGAAAAGGATCATGACTGAATATGATTGATAAGAGAATAGAATAATATTTTCCCGTTGAGCCCAAACACCAGCTGTTGGCTTTGTCATTTTTCACTTCCCTTCTTTGTGTGTGTTTGTGTCTTAAAGCCGATCGGTGAATCTGTGCAGTGACATGTTGGCCTCTATCGGTACACGTGTCAGTCCTTTTCCTTCCTCTCCCCAGGGAGAAGGATGGAGGCCGATGGGGGAGACGGATGCTTTACACCGTTGCCTCTGCTGTTTGTCTGCGACGCCGACGACACGCAGGACGAATGTTGTCGCCGCCCCTACTGTTGTTTTGGGTTTGTCGCATTATGAGTCTGATGCTGGTGGCAACACGTTAGAGCAGGAAAACGCTGTTTGTCTGCTGTTTAGATGAATGCAAAGAGGAGAAGAGGGGAGACGGGGGGTGAGGGAGGGGGAGGCCCTGAGGCGGGAATAAAGACTCTCACCACTGTAGAGTTGTTGTTGTGTGGCGTCGGGTATTCAGAACCGGC